GTGTAGTGGTTAAAAGCGGCAGTCTTGTAATCAGGGGAACCGGGTTGGCGTCTCTGCTCCTCCGCATGCAGCTGCTGGGTGACCTTGGGCCAGTCACACTTCTTTGAAGTCTCTCAGCCCCACTCACCTCACAGAGTGTTTGTTGTGGGGGAGGAAGGGAAAGGAGAATGTTAGCCGCTTTGAGACTCCTTAAAGGGAGTGAAAGGCGGGATATCAAATCCAAACTCTTCTTCTTCTCTTCTTCTTCTTCTTCTTCTTCTTCTTCTTCTTCTTCTTCTTCTTCTTCTTCTTGTTTTCCTCTTCCCATCTCATTTTCCTTTTGTATGATGTGTGCCAATTTGTAAGTCAGAGACGGTGTGGTTATTTTATAAATCTTTGCAGAGTACCTAGAAAAGCTTCGTGGACATCATCACCATAAGAGTGCTGCTGGATCAGGCCAGTGGCCCATCTAGTCTAGCTTCCTGTTCTCCTTTGGGAAGCCTAAAAACAGGACCTGAGCTCAACGGCCTCTCCTCTGTTGCAGTTTCCAGCAAGTGGTATTCAGAAGCGTACTGCCTCTGACAGTGGAGATAGAGCATTGCCTTCATGGCTAGTAGCCACTGAATTTGTCTAAACTTTTTTTTAAAACCATCCAAGATCCTGCTGGCATATTGTTAGGCATTTCCCAAGCAAATCAATGGGGTCTGACCAAAAGTGGAAGGCTGAGGGTAAAGCTGCCTCTAAATTGTGCTTGAGTTCTAAGTCCTACAGCAAAGATATGGGATACTTCAGAGATGCTCTTTGGAGATAGGGACACACTGGTATTCTTCAAGGTATAGGAAGAGTATCTATCTATCTATCTATCTATCTATCTAGTCCATTAACCAAAGTTCACCTCTGTATCCACACCAGTTACTAGCTCTTGTACCAGCCAACTTTTCACCTCAGTCTCATTTCCATCTCAGTCTTATGGTTCTTTACTGACTGACATAAAATCATGTAGCTTCTGAGGAAAGGATTTTTTCCCAGAAATTCTGCAGATTCTACGGATATGTTTTCTAGCTTCTGAATTTGGTGGGAACGCAATTATGAAATGAGCATAAATTTATTCTGAGGAATTAATTTATTCCCCCCACATGTTTTCTAATGTTTTTTTTAAATAAAAAAAGAGACCAGACATTTAGCTATATAAAGATTTCTCGTAAGTACAAGTTTGCAAATATTCATCTCAACGACCATTCTATCCAATGCGCTGAACAGCACAATGCTACTACAATGATATGTGACATGAAACTGATTGGACAGTCGGGTAAAATTAATCAAGACCATCCACTTGAACTTAGGCCTTCTTATCCATTCAGTCCTCAAGTAAAAAAGAGATGATCTTCTCTCTCTTTCATGCATTTATACACATATACAGGCATGGAATTAATCCTTCATATATAAAATAGTGGGTGTTTCCAGCACCAGCATTGGAAAACAAGTCAAGAACAGCAATTAGCCTCCCAGATAAGTCTTTTGCAAACTTAATAGTAGGTAAGCAAGCTTTTGAGATTTCTTAGGAGACTTTCAAATAGCACACTGAAGGTGCACAAAAGGAATCAGATTTATACACAAATACTACAGAGATCAATGTGTTAGAGAATATAGGTATTGCTTTTCAGGTTTAAAGTTCCTGCAGGAGTCATTATCCATAGGAGATTAAATCTGTAAATTCAGGCAGGCAGAGTCAATGGGCAGTTGTTCAAACAGCCGATTAAAATGATTAATGGCAGCCCAAGATGTGCTAATATGCACAACAGCCTTACAGTACAATGCAGTACGGGTGTTCTTCAGGTAGGCTTCAGGCATAAATCAAAGATTTATAAAACAACCACACAGTTTCTGACTTGCAAAATGGGATGGGAAGAGGAAAAGAAGGCATGAATAACGCTGCCACAATAAGGGTTTATTTGAGTTTAGGAATGGGGAACAAGCCCAAGCTTTCCTGATGTCCAGCATCAACATCACAGAGAAACAGTAGTCAGGTGGACACCCATCTATTTCTGGTTCTTGGTTTCCCTAGAAAAGTTGCCAGCTCTCACTCAACTTACCTCACGGGGTTGCAAAGGTATTATGGAGTAATCTGTATACATGCCCCTCCATTCCTTGCACCAAGGTTAGGTTGGCTTTGGCACGGAATAATCCTTAGGAGCAATCTTGGGTAGGAGTTCAGTAACATGCTTTCTTTTCCATGCTTCCTTGACACATGTGCTTCTGGCTTATCAAGAAGAGTAGAAAGAAGTTGTGCTTGAAACTGAATACCCTCAGCGTGACAAAGGTGATACTGAAACAAGGTTTTTTTGAAAGCCAGTGTGATATGGTGCCTAGAGAATGGACTCGGACTGGAGAGACGAAGTTCCCAGGGCAGAATTTAAACAACCCACAGCCATAAAAACAAAGCGGGTCCTAAAATCATACAACACAAAATCCCACAGAGTGGTTGTCTAGTGTGGCAAGGAAAAACGTGGTATAAAGAATCAGTGCGACATGGAGTTAGAGTGTCAAACCAAGACCTGGGAAACCAGCATTCAAATTCCCATTTCGCCATAAAGCCCACTGGGTAACCTTGGTCTGTTAATTTCTCACAGGTGTTTGTGTGAGGGTAGACTGGGGAGGGGAAGAACCACGTATGCTACTTTGACCTCCTTGAAGGAAAGACAGGATATAAATGTAATAATAAATAAAATAAATAAATAAGGTTCACAAACTGGATGAGTGAAGAGGGGTTGTCATAATAATCTAGTAGATGGGGGAGAGCAGAATATTTTAATGAAGAGCTAACATACATCGGTACCAAAAATTAAGTCCGTTGTCCTACAGACACAATCAGCATCCCTGAGTTTCTGCCAGAGTAAGCACTTTGTTGGCAGACGCTGAAATGGCTTGGTAACTACAGGTTGTGAGCCCATTTGTCTTCTGCGCCCTTGAAAGCATCTCTTTTTGTAATCCACAGAGACTGCAACAGAAAGCCTGGCTTTTCAGACATTGTGATGCAGTTTTAGAAGCTTTCACATCCTATACTTCTAGGAATTACATTGAATTGTGCCATTTGCTACATAGCAGGGATATAGATAGGAGCAATATTTTGAAACACCCATGGGTAATAAGAATTTGCCATCCACTCAATTGCTACTGGTTAAGTCCCTAACAGAATCATTCTTAATTGAGGAAGCAGCGAGATCTCACAGCATGGGGCTATTACTTGCAGGGCTCAAATTTAGCATCAACTGAATTCTCCCTAGGGAGCTTTGAGACAGCAGCAATAGCAGCAGCAATGCCAGAGCCCACACAATGAGTGAGTCTGAATTCCATTAACTATGGAGCCAGCTTGCCATACAGTATCCCCATTTAGTCTTCCAATTATTATTACACCATGGACAGTGGGGTTGAAGTGGCAGATTGTTTGCTGAATGGGGGATTTGCTCAAAAGAATCCATCATTTCCATAAATAATGCAAAAATTCTCCCAAGTGTTAAAGCATGTAATTGTTTTTCTGACATCAACTTAAACAATAATCTGTGTGTAAACAAGACATTGTCATGCATTCTACTAATGATTGCTAATTAAATCTGCCCTGTTGTTACTATTTTCCAAAATAATTCAAATGCCTCAAGTTGTTCTACAGTACTGGAAGGTTTGGCTTGCATGATTAAGAGAGTAGCATTAAATAATAAGCCATGAGCACAGATAAGCTTTTAATTGCTAACCTTTCAGTTGAACTTCTCCATTTTAGTATTCCCTTTACCCTATTATTCATTAGATATCTGTCATTTTTTAAATATAGTCATTAATTGCACTAGAAACACAAATGAGTTCTGTTTTTAGCTTCCCCTGGTGTATAATGTAGTACAGAGAGAATTCGAACACAGTGATGAATAGGTGAACTGAGCAGTTTAGCTTGCAGCTTATTCCTTTGCAACACAAAGCTTAGGTTGGTGATCCGGGCTCCCCATCCCTCATGCATTGGAGCCCTGC